GGCATAAGTCGGAAATAGAAACCTCCAGTTAGTTAGTTTGTTAGAATAACTTTCCTATTCCTGGAGAAAAGGCTTTGTGAGTTTTTAACCTGTTTTTTTTTTTCCTTTCACTGCTTTTTTTTAAACTAGAAGTTTCTAGGGGTTTAAAGATCTTTCGTGTTGTTCTCAAGCATTTCTGTAACACAGCTTGTCTCTTATGTCCTGCTTTTAGTGCTGCCTTGGACACACGGGCACATCAAGGCAGAATGTTAGGGTGTCTCTGAGCTTTTCACTAAACCAGAAATGCAAAGCCCATAATATTTCTAGTTTACTGAGCTCTCCCCCACTTCTGACAAGTCTCTGCCTTCGAAGCATCTGGGCACATGGCTCAGTCTCTGTCTGCCAGGTGTGGCAGCTTGGAATTATCTGGTGTGTCTCATGTCCGCTGACCACCCACGGCCAGGTGTGGCCTCTGGGCTCACTCAGGCATCTGGAGGCCTGGGCTGGGTGGACCAGTTCAGAGCACGGGAAGCTGGGCAGCCTGGGTTCAGCTCTCTGCTCAGCCACTCTGGGACCTTGGGGAAGTTCACTGCCCTTGCTATGCTGGAGTTTCTTAGGTGGGAAGCACCCATCATCCAAAGTGCTGTACATTTATTGGCAGATCTAGCCCTCACATATGAGGTAGGTGCTCTTACTAGTCCCAGATTAGGAACAAAAACACTGTGGTGCAGAGAGAGTGAGTGCTTTGCAGGCAGTGTTACATCTGAGAAGGCGGCGCTGAGGCTGGACCCAGGACCCAAGAAGGAGGACATCTCCCTCACGTGCTCGTTGTATCTAAAGTGATACTAACTATAGGCACAGGGACGTAGTAAGTGCTCAGTAACTTCATCCAACACATATTGGCGTGCCTGCGGCTGTGTACTGGGCCTTGTTTATACACCGGTGGGCAAGAGGAGGAAGTCCCTGCCCTCCTGACAGACAGCTGTTAACCACCAGTTCAAAAGGAATGACGAGAAGTGGTACAAGGAAACACAGGATGTTCTGATGGCATGTGACCAGGGAACCTTACTGCGCCTGGGGTTGCGGGGCAGCCTCCCCAAGGCCGGCTCGCAGGCGTCCACTCCTGGGGTTACAGGCGCTGCGCGGTGGCCCCAGCCCCACTCTGCCATAACTCTTCTTTTTTCCCCACGTTCTAGACCATACGACAAAAAATTTTAGACTTCTTGAACCCCTTGACTGCGCATCTGGGAGTTCAGTTAACAGCCGCTGTGGCAGCAGTGTGGAGCAGGAAGAAGGTTAAACGCCTCAGTAAGATGAAGGTAGAGTTTAAAACTTGTATTAGACTCGCTCTGCCAGGAACACCAGCGTCGCATGTAAGCGACGGTGGCATTAAAGGCCGGCTCAGGAAACCACTTGAAGTGGTTTTACTGCTTGAAATGTGTCAATGACACAAGCGTGTCACTCCAGCTGGGTCTGGAGCTGGGTCGGGGAGCTACCCCTGGCTTCTGCTTTCGGATCTCTCTGTAATGAATATAGAATACTTCTTTTTATTATTTTTTAAAGATTATTTATTTTAAGAGAGAGAGAGAGCACGTCTGAGCAAGCAGGGGAGGGAAAAAGAGAGAGGGAGACAGAGAATCCCAAGCAGGCTCCACGCTGTCGGCACAGGGCCTGACACAGGGCTTAAACTCACGAACCAAGAGATGACCTGAGCCAAGATCAAGAGTCGGACACTTAACCAACTGAGCCACCCAGGCGTCCCCCTTATAGATTTTTATTAACCATAAAATACTTTACTTTTTTTAAGAGTTGTCTTAGGTTCACAGCAAAATTGAGGAGAAAGTACAGAGATCTCCCCAATACCCCCTGTCCTACACATACGGTATCCCCCATTATCAACACCTCCCCCCAAAGTGGTATGTTTGTTACAGTCAGGACCCTACTGTGACACATCATTATCACCTAGGACCCACAGGCTTTTTAATTTATAAAAATAGCACTTAAAAAAATTTATACCCCATTCAAATCTTCACATTCGGTTCCCAAAGGTAATTTCATTTCACATTCCATCCATTTATTATCCACTGACTGGTCTATCACGCAGCTCCAGGGGCTTGGTTCATTTCTGCAAAACCAACACATGCCTCTTCCTTTGTTTTCTCTTGGCCATCTAGGTTCCTACCTCATGCCTCCCTCAGAGGGTCTTTCCCACTCCCTGGAAACTATCTCAGTGTCCAACACAGGCTTCTGTTCCCTGAGGAGGCATGAGAGGTTGGTGGCCCAGGCCACCCTGCTTAGCACCTGCGGGGTCTTCACTGGTGGCAGATCTGATCCTTCCAAGTGCATATGACCACAAGATGCAGACTCTGGTCATCAAAAATGTATCTCCTGGGGCACCTGGGTGGCTCAGTTGGTTGAGCATCCAACTTGATTCTCAGCTCAGGTCTTGATCTCAGAGTCATGAGTTCAAGCCCTGAATTCATGCCCTACATTTAAAAAATAAAGATGTATTTTCCATCCCAGGGCTTTCCCACCAAGGCCAACTAAAAATAACCTGATTTATCTGGTTTTTCTTTTACCGTCCTCATACTTGTAGGGCTGTCTGTCAGTGTCAGCCTGCTTCCTTCGATTAAGTGTATCTGCTTCTAAAATGCTCTCTCAGGGGCGCCTGGCTGACCCAGTTGGTGGAGCACATGACTCTTGATCTCAGGGTTGTGAGTTCAAGCCCCACAATAGATGTAGAGATTAAAAAAATAGATGCTTTCTAAGCTCACACGTACCAACGTCACTGCCCCCTCATCGACTGCACCTGTTATTCCTGATATATGTCAGATGCTGATTACGTCACGGTGATTAAATTCTTAGGTCACTCTTTGTCTCCCCCAAGAGAGTCCTTTACCCAGTTTTTGTTTAGATATTTATTTAAAAGATTAGAGCTCTTTCTCCGGGGTCAGCTGTTACAGAATACTTTCTGTGCATCGTTCTTGTGTTTGTTTTCTCTTTAAAAGAGCTTTAAGGGAACCATTTTTTTCCTCGGCAGATTGTCCCGGAGGCAAGTGCATCCCAGCTGACCCTCGTCGACCTGATTTGTGCGCTCAGCACCCTGCAGACGGACACAGTGCTGCACCTGGCAAAGGAGGTGGTGAAGAGGCCGCCGCAAATCCGAGGCGATGAGGTCAGGAGCGTGGGGATCTCCCAGATGGATGCGTGGTGCCCTTCTATCTCCATGTCTTATAAGTGGTGTTTGGGAGGGAAGCAGAAGGCGTAGGAGCAGCTAGGATGCCCTGGGGGGTGGGACGGAGGAATTCTGCTGGGCTTGGGCGAGGCCACGTGAAGTGTGCACCTGTTTGAAGGTGGGAACCACCAGAGCGCAGAGACCATCTTTCATCGTTCCCTCCCTGCTGCGGCACGCGCTGCCCAGGAGTGGGTTCCTTCTGAGTCCCTGCAGTGTGTCAAGTTGAACAAAACCTTTAGGAAGAGGAAATGACACTTGTCTCAAGGAACTTGCCGCCTAAGAGGCGTCAAAGAGAAGCTGAGCCAGACACTAGTTAGAGGTGGTAAAGATCAACTTCTGTTCTGTAGCTCCTGTGCTGGGGAGAGAGCCAGCCTCAGTTCCGGTTTGTGCAGAGGTACTACAGAGTACCTTAACCGGCAGGTGGGGGGAGTAGGAAGGGTGAAGGAGCAAGACCTCCAGCAAAGCCAGGAGAGTAGAAAATTACAAAAAGCTCCCCAGGGGAAAGGAGTCGGTTATTGTGAGAAGGCTGTGGGTTTGCTGACTGATGCTCATGGAAGGTAGGCTCCTGTACCCCCAGAGACTGGGATGCAAGGGTCCTGTCTGTCTTAATGGCCGTATTCCAGAGGATGGTTCCCAGGCCCTTGAGAAAGACACTCCTGTTGTAGGAAATGCATGTACATCTCAAAGGACAGAGGAAGGATTTATAGCTACATTTAATAAATGCTCTGAGAGGAAAGGTCAGGAAGGAGCCTGTTGGGTGCTGACTGAGCAAATGGCCAATCGTTTTGGCAGCCTTGAGCTCTCTTGGGCAGGCGTTTTAAGGGGGCTGGGATCATGACCTGAGAGACACCACCTTGAGCTGCTCAAAACCATGGTCGTGTTTGTTCAGGATAGTGTGGGGGATGGACGGAGTCATTTCTGCGGAAAGTCAGTCCTCATAGGCCAAAGCAGAGGCCTAGTCAAGAAGAGAGCTCTGACCAGAGTTCAGACTTTGGTAATTTTTATACACAAGAAAAAAAAGATGGGGCAGAGGACAGGACTCATGTGAGGCATTCCGAGAAGGAAGAGGTGCCTGTGGCTGCAGTGGCCCGTGGAGTGCTAAGATGGTGCCAGGAAGCTCCTGTAGTTCCGCGCGCCATTTCTGCGTCGCAGGCGAGGAGTCCTCGCTGCAGTGGTTTTGAAACAGAGCAGACTTTGAGGTTTAACATTTATATGCCCTTAGAGCTTTTTTATTTTTATTTTTTGGGAAAATTTTATTTTTAAGTAAACTCTACACCTAACATGGGGCTTGAACTCACAACCCTAAGAACAAGAGTCGATGCTCCATTGACTAAGCCAACCAGGCACCCCAGAGGTGTTTGTTTTTACCAAAGCAGGGCACCTCATTGAAAGTGTAGGAGCTGTTTTGTTTTTAGTCTGATAGAAAGCAGGGATTTACTTCAACCTTGAAATAATTACATTCTATCAAGTAATATAGAATTATTAGGAAAAATACAAGAATAATTACCTAAACGGAAACTAGTGGAATGGACAAAGTGATTTTTAAAAAATTTTTTTAATGTCAATATTTTGAGAGAGGGAGACAGAGTATGAGCAGGGGATGGGAAGAAAGAGAGAGAGAGGGAGACACAGAATCTGAAGCAGGCTCCAAACTCTGAGCTGTCAGCACAGAGCCCAACGCGAAGCTCGAACTCATGGACAATGAGATCATGACCTGAGCTGAAGTTGGATGCTCAACCGACTGAGCCACCCAGGCGCCCCAGTGATTATTTAAAAATATAGTTTTGACCTCCCAGGATCGTGTCTAGAGAGTGGTTCATATTCTGCCAGCTTTGGAGACAGGAGGGAAAGCAAGCCTGGCAGAGGTTCCCAGCTTCCTCAGTAGCTGGAGATTGGAGGACACTTTGCAACAGTGTTCAAGAAAAAAAAATAAAAATAAAAATAAAAGTATAGTTTTACTAAAAAAAAAAAAAAAAAAGGGCACCTGGGTGGCTCAGTCAGTTAAGTGTCCAACTTCGGTTCAGGTCAAGATCTCATGGTCCATGAGTTTGAGCCCCATATCAGGCTCTGTGCTGACAGCTCAGGGCCTGGAACCTACTTGGGATTCTGTGTCTCCCTCTCTCTCTCTGCCCCTCCCCCAGTGCTCACACATGTGCTCTCTTTCTCTCAAAAGTAAACATTAAAAAACATATATAATAAAAAATACATATATAGTTTTATTCAAACAGGTATTTGTTGTACACCAGTGTTTATAATAGCATTACTCACCGTCATGAGAAGGCAGAAGTGCCCCAGGTATCCATCGATGAGTGATCGGATAAACAAAGTCAGGTGCATCCATGCGATGGAGTATTACTCCGCCTTAGAAAGGAAGTTAATTCTGACATCTGCAACACAGATGAGACTTGAGGACGTGTTGAGTGAAGGCAGTCACAGAAACACAAATGTTAAAGGGTTCCGCTTATAGGAGGTCCCTAGAGCAGCCAGTTGTGTAGACCGAAAGCAGAGTAGTGTTGTCAGAAGTGGGAGGAGAGGGGACAGGAGTGACTATTGAACGGGGACAGAGTTTCAGTTTGGGGAGATGAAAAAGTCCTGGAGACGGCTGGTGGGGATGGCTGCACACATTGTGGAGGAACTTAACGCCACGGAACTAGATGCTTAGAAATGGTTAAAATGTGGGGCGCCTGGGGGGCTCAGTCCGTTGAGTATCCGACTTCAGTTCAGGTCATGATCTCACAGCTTATGGGTTCAAGCCCCGCATCAGGCTCTGTGCTGACAGCTCAGAGAGGTGCAGGGTGGTGTCCATGTTGGGAAGGCCAGCTGTGTCCTTCCTTCGTTCCAAAACTGAACATAACCGTGTGCTTCAGGGGTGAGGAGTCCTTAGTAGTAACACGTGTCTACCCTCAGTCCCCTGTATTCTAGTTGGGAAACGAAGATGAGCCAGCCTCAAATGAACACCACGCGGCCAGATTATGGAGGGGTGGAAGCCCTTAAGGGATCAGCTGTGAAACGCACATGGAAGATGTCCGTGGTGTGGGTTGGACGTCTGCCCCCTGGGCCTCCCTCGAATGCCACGTAGTCTTGTTGCCTTTCGTTCTTGTACGTAAATATTAAAGTAATCAACCCTGAAGAGAGGAGCGGGGATGGAGGGAATGTCAGATCCTCGGTGACTTGGCATTTATAACTCTGAGCCAGTCTCAGGTGTCAGGAAACTGACCCTGCAAGCCGGTGGTCGCTTCCTACGAGAACCAGAGGCAGCTGTCCACCAGAAGGAGACTCAGCAATGGCTTTTATGTACCTTTGTAGTTTTGTTCCTTTGTGTTACTTGAAGCTCTACAAATATCTGCAACTCATGGGCTAAAAAAAAAAACACACACACTAGGGGGCGCCTGGGTGGTTCAGTCAGTTGAACTTCCTTGATTTTGGCTCAGGTCAAGATCTCTAGGTTTGTGAGATTGAGCCCTGTGTCAGTGTGGAACCTGCCTGTGATCCTCTCTCCCGCCTCTCTCTTTTCCGCCCTCACTCACACGCATGTGCTTGCTCTCTCTCAAAATCTATAAACAGACAAAAAAAACACTGGATCTCGTCTGGCTGGCTGGTTTTTGGCTGTTCAAACAACAAAATTACATTTTATGATTCGCTGATCGGCTCAACTTCCATAACTTCTACAAATAGCTTTTTATAAGCCAGGAGAGAAAAATATATGTGTTTTCAAAACCAGTTTCTAAGTGGAAGTTCTCTGGGCTGAGTTTGAGGGAATTCCTTGAGCTAAGACCTTTTTATTGTCTCTTGTCTGTATGAATCGCATGCACTCATGAGGGTCAACTTTGGCCACCACGGTTTTGTTTGGGGAGGTTCAGTTATTACGCCAGATTTTCCTCAAATACTTGTTAAAAGCCTGGAGGGGACGGGGTGCCTGGGTGGCTCAGTCGGTTAAGCATCCGACTTAGGCTCAGGTCATGATCTCATGGTTCATGGGTTCGAGCCCCGCGTCGGGCTCTGTGCTGACAGCTAGCTAAGAGCCTGGAGCCTGCTTCAGATTCTGTGTCTCCCTCTCTCTCTGACCCTCCCCTGCTCACGCTCTCTCTCTCTCTCTCTCTCTCTCAGAAATAAATTTAAATTAAAAAAAAAAAAAAGCCTCAAGGGGACTCACCCTGAAGTCTGATGATAAGGGCAGAAAGGCGGTGATGATTTGGGACCTCATGTGTTTTGTTACACCTGGGGGCTGTTTTCACGTGTGCTTTCACCTCTGAAAGACTGTCTGGCTAAAAACCTTTGCTTTGTGAGGATATAGACTCTGTTTCGTTTTGTATTCTAATTCTTTCTTTAACCTAATTTCCTAAGCAACTTGGAGTAATTGGTTTCACTTTCATTTTCAGAAGGCGCCCCTGGTGGATATCCCTGTGCTACAGTTCTGTTACGCCTTCATCCAGAGGTGCGGCAGCCCTTCCAGACATTTCTCAGTCGCAATAATCCCTGCACAGATGCGATTGCACTGATTATAAATGTAACTCCCAATTGCATTTCTTGCCAACTGGGGGCCTTAGTTCAGACAATAATCTTGAAGGTGTCCTGGTTTCTTCCCAAAATGTGACAACAAACGCCCTGAGGGTCTTCCTTTTCCTTCTCCAGAGATCTAATCTGATGTTGTAAAACGCCTGTGCTGGCACTTGAACGCTTCACGTTCAGTGCCGAGTGTTAAAGACTTAGAGGATTCTTTTGAGTGCTCAGTGCTTTCCCGTGGTTTCTGCTTGGGTTTACTGAGCTTTGTGTCTGTTTTCAGCCTCCGTGACAAGAGGCGTTGAAGCAGGTTCCCCAGGTGGAAGGGCAGCCTTACCGATCCACCGTGCGGGGCCGCCTCTGTCGCGGTCACGAGGGGGAGGTGGGGGACGTAGCCCCCTTCTCGAGGGCCGGGAATTGCACTCGCACAGGCAGGCAGTCCGAGGACCAGGCCCCAGCCCCTCGGTTAACAGGGCTCTCACACCAAGCTCCTTGCAGGCCGCCATGCCTGAGGCCTCCGGTGGGTAGTCGGAGCGTCGCAGTCCCGGGAGCCCCTGGGTCTGGGGTTAAGTTCCGACCCGCTGTCAATACTTCGCCCACAAGCGCTGTTACAGTTCCTTCTTCCAGGAGTTAGAGGAGCCGGCCGCGTCTGTCCTGGTCACTGCCGTGCTCTGTAATACGAGCAGGCGTCTGGCACGGTGGCCGCAGTGACCCCTGAGCCACCAGCCGCTGCAGGTTAGGTTTCCAGCCTCGTCCTCTTGCAGAGGAGGCCCTGCTGAGGTGGCTCAGGACTTGAACCCACGGCCCTCCGGCTGCGGCCTGTTGTGCTATGTGGCCTTGGCATGAGAACTCCTGAAGATCAGCTTCCTGGTGGGTGACTTTGTGGGCTGATGGCTGTGCCCGTTACCAGCGACACCGTAGAGGCCGGATGTTAGTGCTAGACCAGCCCAAGGGGTCAGATAGCCCTCTGGTTCAATCCTTTGTTGGATACATAGGAAACCGGGAGCACCTGACTTGTCAGCAGCAGGATTTCTGGTCCTCAGACTCCCCAAGTTCTTGCCAGAATACAAAAATTTAGCTTGTGTGTATTTTAATTTAAAAAAGAACAAAGAGATCAGATAGGCCACCTGCCCTCTGCTTTCCAACTGCCTGGACCTAGAATGTGCTTATAATGTGTGTTTTGGCTTGTTCACAGTCGGGTTATTCTTTCCTGTTTTCTAAACATAGGCTCCCAGTCACGGCCTTGCAAGAGAACTTTCCTCCGTTGTTGGGTGTGTTAAAGGAGTCCGTGCAGTTGAACCTAGCTCCCCCTGGATACTTCCTGCTTCTCAGGTATCGTGCCCGTCACTGCCTTTTCCTGCGGGAACACGGCTTGTTCCTGCAACATTCTTAGTCTGAGGCCGCCTGTCTCTCAACAGCATGCTGAACGACTTTGTGACGAGAACCCCCAACCTGGAAAGCAAGAAGGACCAAAAAGACCTGCAGGTCTGTGTGTGAAAAGGGTAACAGATGTCGCCGCCCGGGAGTAGTGTCCACCCTTAGAGGAGGTGCTCGTGGAGAATCCGCGCTGGGCAGAATCGGCTCTTAGATCTGCCTCTGTCGTCACATCTGACTTCCTTCATCACTGTCTTTAGGGGGCTCCAGGGACCCGGGCCGGGTCTCCTGCCGAAGTTCTTGCATCAGGCCTGAGCAGTCCGCTAGGGATTGACCCGATGCCCCCTCTCCTCACCGCACACAGACGGAGGCAGAGCAGCCCCCCCCCCCACAGCGTTAGGACAGCAGTTCCTTGCGCGTGGATTTCTGTCCTTGAGACCAGTCTTGCCCCTCCTCGCTAAAGCAGCATTTGCTCATGGGAAGTTTCCGAAAGCCTGAAAAGTAAAAGTGAAACTCACCCCGGGAGGAGGGAAACCTTAGAGTAAGATGCCAACTACAAATAGAACGATGGGGTCAGGAAATCACGGCTTTGCAGCCAGTAGAATCATTGATTGAGGGGCTTTTGGACCCACGGTTTTGAGTTAAACCGGGACGTGGATCCGTTTTATGGCCCTGGAGATGTTACTGCTGACCATGGTGATCCCTGGCCTTTGTGAAAGGCCTCTCCGGTGTCCGTGCTGACCCACCGAGTACGGCATGAAGCACAGCCAGGCGTAGACCGTCCAGGGATGCCCGTGGCCTCCACTTGTGGGGAAGAAAGCTGATGCTGCATGACCGGAAGTTGGACAGCACTGCCCAAACTAGCCTCTCAAGGCCACCCACTTCGTGGCCCATGACCTACAGCGTGCCCTTTCCTTCTGTCCATTCTGGCGGTAGCTGTGGCCACGCGGGTGACGGCAGCTGGTGTACCTCCCCCCTGCTCCCTTTGGTTACTCCTGTCTCATGATGCCCAGCCTCCCCGACAGCCCAACTCCTCACCCC